GTCCAACACAGCAGAACTCATTAGAGTTCACCTACTAATCACTTTGGGCTTTATTTAATTCAATTATAAGCATATTATGAAGAGCTTATTGAAGAAATTTATTTGAAACCATCTAGAGAGTAGTAAATTGTTCATTTTTCGGAAAATTGACCATAAAGGCATCTTTTATTTACAGAATCGAAAAGTTTTACAATTTTCTAGGATGTGAACGCATGTAAGAATGGAGCCTTCATGACGAAAAACTCGAATCCCACCACCCTCTATATCAGTTAGACTTAACAGGTCCTGTCCCCTGTCCCACTCATTGGGTGTGCACCTCAGGAGTATGGTGACCACTGCGTAGAGAAATTGAGTGTACTAAGTATTAAAACCCATTTGAACAAAAAAGTTACCTATTAAAACCGTTATCTGTAGAATGGGGCTCTTTACGCTTTTACTAAAAACCTATTTCCAAATCACCTTAGAGTAATTATAATAACGACTGCCAGATAAGTCGCATACCAAAATTGACAGTGGTGAAAGGGATTTCGCTTCCTATTCATATTGCATAGTGACAAATAATCAAAAGATAAATCAGGTAGCTTCAAATAATTAACAATCGATATTGTTTTGAATTGAGCTTTGAAAAGAAATGTATCGGAAATTCCATTTGAAGATAGCCCCAGAGCCTTCGCTGAAACTACAGCCTTTGTTAGTACATCCACTTTTCTGTATAACCTTAGAAATTAAACAATAAGAATTTGAGTCCATTAATTAGACAAAAACACATCAAAACTCTGCAGCCAATTTGAGAAGTATAGTTAGCCGTCGAATATGATTGATATCGTTTAAAATACTCGCCATATTCACTACTCCTAATATCGGTAACATTGAGGTACTTCCGTTTGATTGGCAGAAATTTAGCTAACCACTTTAGCCACTCATTTTCTCATAACATTACTTAGAAGAGTTGCTTGTCAGAGTGGGCTTGAAAATTTTCCAGTTTAATCAAAGACAAAGGTGACATTAGTGCTTTCTACATAGCATGGCCGGTGATTAGAAACTAACTCATTGGGATTGTCCGACCAAAACTGAAATTAAGTGTAATTTCCTCCTTCCAAACAGTTGTTTAGTCTTTTTTCAACGTCAGAAAACTTAGATACTTATTTGTTTAGTAATAACAGCACAAGAGCATATTGAATTAAATGACTTTAAGTCAATAAGTTCGATTTCAAGTACCTATCTCCCGGACTTGGAATGCGGAGGAAGTTTAAATTACATAATTGGTCATTATATGAACTTGTGTTATTTCTCGTCTTTATAACCACGACCTTAACAGCGTATATTCATGACTAATCATGCATTACGCGAGGTGACGTTATCCGTGTCTAATTCCAATTTTAATTTCGAAAACTTAACTGTCCTACCTCGCAACGTATGTTCATTTGTTCCTTTAACGCTGACAATTAACTATTGCAAGATTAATAATACACTGCCGATAGTAAAAGTTCTACAAGCATAGCACAAATGGGCCTCCTAATATACACGGCTCTGGCTGCCAAATGCTGGCAATAATTTCAATTCCTGAAAATTTTACTGAGCAGGAGAAAATGAACTTAATAAATCAATATTATGAAACTCAGTATCCTACCTTTTTCATAGCAGGTTCACTCCTGAAAAGGGGCTTGTTGTCTCACTTGGAGCATCATTTTAAAGTCAACTCTGCTTAGAACGAATGAATTATTTATTATAAATTTGAAAACGGCGAAAAATGTCATACATTTAGTCTTCAATTACTCCCCCATGCCACTTTAAAGGAAAAGAATATTTCATTTACATTATACTTGCAGGTGTATATCCAATACAAATTGTACAAATCTTCACAATTGTACTTCACGTTTCATAGATCCCTAAAAAAATCATTTTTTTTCAAAATCTTTGAGTATTGCAAAGGGCATAAAAAGGGTGGGTTGTGAAGGTTGTGGTGCATAAAGTAATTCCATTTTTGAAAACTTCAAATTGAAACATTATTTTACTCTTGTTATTTTCAAAATTTGAAATAAAAAAGAATTGCGATAGGACGCATTTTGTCTAAAATGCGATTTTTTGACATTGATATTTGAATTTTCAGTTTTAGCGGAATTAAGCCCAACAAACATAGATTTTTAGATTTGATGTTGTACTTAATTACACTTGGAAAGCCACTAATACAATTAACGATCTTATCTAAAACAGAGCTGGAAATCGGCCTCTAATGCATGCCTAAGGTATAAAGAGGGTTCCATCTTTGAATGAGTACTTAGCTTCACTAGAATTCGCTTGAAAAGTAAGTCTTCTCTTTTCAATTACAACTCATTATGACCTAGCAGATGTAATTAAGCCCTCATTGCGGTCTATTTAAACAAAATGGCGAATTAGAGAGATGTCAGTTAAAAGGGTGGGTATAGCTTTTACTATCGAACTCACCGATGATAGCGGAAATAAAAGTAAGGGATTTCGTCCTCAAAACCGAAGATTTAATTTTTTTGTGATTGCTGCCACATTTGAAGGCCATAGAAAGAAGATCGTGACGTATGTCACTCTCGAAAAGCAAGCTATACCATCATGAGCATTTTTGTAATAGTTTATTTCACACCTAGCCCGGATTTGTCCGATAGCAGAAGCAAGTACGCATTAGGCATTGTTCCTATTTAAAAGCTCGGGCAGTTTAATGTATGAGAAACTATGCATTAAACCACCGAAGACGGTAGAGAGGCCACTCCTAAGCTAGATGATATTGCATTATATTGTGCAGATGACGAAGAAATCCTGCTCATTGGAAGGTTATCATGTTTAGACTCCCATTTTATGCAACATGCCTCCTCTAAAGGGTAAGGTCGGCCAAAAACCATCTTAGGGCAAATGCTTTACCTGTTTTAGACACCTAAGTGAAATTGCGGAATTTTAATTGAACATCGTAGTTAAAAATTAACACCATGAATACTACTTAATTAGATTTGATAAACATCCCGACACCGTCATTTTCAGGTAAGAATTTGCAATAACACATTTCGTGTATCATGGTGTCAAAATATGAAAAGAGGAATTTCGAACTAATAATTTTTGATGAAATCTATTTAATTAGGCAGGCAGAATCATAAGCAGGGCATACTGTATCATCGTAAGCTCAATAAGATATTCAATCACATTAAAAGGCATTTATTTCGATTGTAAAACAGAGAAAAATATATATTTTATTAAAAAAACAAATGTGAAGAGAAAAATATTCCTTAATCCACTATTTCAAATTTAAGACTCTTCAAATAAGCATTATAACTAAAAAATGGAAGCAGCGTGTAAAAATGCAGATAATGCGGTGTCTCTCTTCAAATTCTCTTTCCATAATAGTAATACTAGTATTTCCGTCCAGGTAATTTTAATGTATGTGTGAGTGTGTGTGTGTACGGAAACATTTAACTCGGCTATCATTCGGCCATATTTGGGGTTCAGGGGGGAGGGGGGTTGCTTTATTACTGTGGTCTGTGTTACCCGTATACAACGGTGAATTATGGCAAACGCATCGCCTATGAGAGAATTACGAATATCCTCTATGGTGGGGCTGTTATTTCACTAACATAGTAAAAGCCCATTACATGAGGAAACAGAGGCTAGTGCAATATTTTAAAAAAAAATTCTTTCCAGAGATGCAGTCACGAGTTCAACTAAAAACCACAGAGCGCTTTCAATAGAGTAAATTTTTGAACTGGATTTTATCATCTTCGACAAAAATATATATTAATGATTACTCAAATGAGCGGATGCATAGTTTCAGCTGAGGAAATTTAAATCCTACACTTTCACACAATGTTTTGAAGAGACCTGTATTAAATCGAATACCATTGTTGAGAATGAAATTCATATGTGTGTAAATCCAAATAACCCTGACATTTAGAAGAGTTAAAGTGCCAAAAACTAAACGCTGGAATTATTTTTCCCCGTTGACTCAGAAGAACAGCGATTCCGTCAACGTTACAAGGCCACTGCCCTCTATTTATTAGAATAAAAAAATCAACCATTTCGATGGAACTCTCTTGGGATGGAACTGACACTTTACAGATAGGAATAAATAGCGTTGGATTCTATGCTAAGAAAGCCCTATCGGCAAATAAAAGCATAAGATACCATCTTCAAGCAAATTTTGCTTTTTGATTTATTCCATCTTTGCAAGTGCTAATTCATATTTAAAAAAATAGGAGCTTTACTTCCTCCAAATCTTGCCACAACATCACAATGAAGACTCAGAGCCAATTAGTCCCAGCTTAAATCAATTAAATATAAAAAGGCATTAGACTGCATAAGCAGTAGTACACTTGAAAAGCATGATCAATAAATTTGATTCTAAATGCTATTACTTAAATGAAATTAGTAGAAAGATTAAATAAAGCACAAGACCCCGAGACTATTAATAGCATGAATAAAGGGAGGGCAATAAGATTTTAATAATTATTAACCTATAAAGGAAGAGAAGTAACCACCTTGCAACAAAAGACACTCAGCCAATGTCCGCTGGAAACCTGAAAGCGAATTAATCGCGGTATGTTATGTACTAAAGCGAAGTCGCTAGAAAAGCCCATTTCCGGTTTCTCAACAGTAGAGTACCCAAAAATGGAATTTTCTAGATAAATTGACCTAGAAAAATAGCTGCATATTAAGTTAAGCTGCAGTATAATGAATACTAATATTATTAATATTTTGAATAAATGTGAAATTAAGCGGTGCATTAACAGACAAAATTGAATTACCCATCCCATAAGATACTATTGACGTAAAGGTAGTATAAGTGACTTATTTTACTAAAAATTTCCTCTAGGGAATAATACTATATTTTAAGCAAGTAAATAATCACCACTGAAGCCATTCAAGGCTAAAACAAACTTAAAAGCACAAAATTATAAAAAAGTGATTCCAGAATAGAATAGGAGTCTCAAAATACATCATTACAAATACATTAGTAGACATAAAGCAACATGTTTTTCCCAAATCTATTCATTCGTTTTGGACGGAGTAATTGGCAAGTAGAGTTTAAATTCAGCTGGTAGTTCCGATTCCTTGTAAATACGATCACTAAAAAATATTCGCCGCAGTCTGCAATTCGCATGAACCTAAATTTAAAATAACGCGAGTAAGATCAATATTGCTTCTTAGTTCGCAGATAATTGAATCACATTTAAAAAATAAATAATGAACAGCTCAAAAGTTTGAGAATGAAAAAAATGATTAAACTGGGAGTTTTTATTGTTTTAACATCAATTTTGTGTGAAAATTAATACTACACATAAAAGTAATATAGGCAAATAATAATGATCTTGATTAGGGGAATTGGGGTTTCACTTAGATTATTTATAGTTAATAAAACGTATGGCTAAAAGTAAAGAAGAACAAGATGAGAATGAATTATCCAGTATTATATCAAAGAAAAGGTTATCGTGACTCTGAAATTCGCTTAGGTATTGGAAAGTGACCAAATTTACAGAGCACAATGGTCAATCAAACTTCAAGAATAGAATTTCATAGATGAAGGGTATTCATGCAGTCGGAGAAGTGAGTTTTAATATCACTCTTTGGCGGTAAGTATGAAACATAGAACCAGGAACTTTCACAGTTAAAAAAAGCAACAAGGCATGATATCAAAAACGAAGAACATACTATACGAAATATAGAAATATCTTTTCAAACATGACTAACAAGAATGATAGCCCTCCACTAAATTTAACAAGATATAGAATTCGTTTCAAACAATGGCCATATCTATAATTCACCGCATAGGGAAAGAGAACAAAACGAGAAAACTTACCTGGACACGAAGAACTTCAACAAAATTTGTCCCATAAGCCCGTTTTGTCAAATCGGCAAGATTTAGCTGAATATGATTCCACTTTTCTTCCATCCTTAGAGGAATTGTACAAATAAAGGGTTTGACACGTGTTGTACTCTGAAAATTGCTGGCTCTGAAACGCCTCCTCACGCCTTTGTCATCGAGTATCTAGTGTTACAATGAAAATAAAGTAAGAAGTTACGTTCATAAAAGGGTAGAAACTAAAATCATAAAAAATATCTGCATAGTTTAAGAAAGTTACCTGAACTTCAAAAGTGAAATAGCGATCCAAGTTCTTGACGATGAGAACAAGAATTGGTAGTTTAATTCCAAGATTCTGTGTAAGATCTGCAGGACAGGTTATGTATGTTGTACTAACATTGTTTCCGACTAATTCTAAGACTAGGGATTCAATATCACTATCTGTGGTTCTCTTTATATGCCCATTACGAACCTTTTGAAAAATAAATCTGGTTTATAACATGAATTAAAAATGAAAAGTAAGAATATTCAAACATACTCGTTTATCCCAGATTTGCAAAGGCTTGGAACCAATGCTAAACAGGATAGATAGAAATCCACTCTGGAATGTGTTGCGAAACATTACTTGATGAATACAATTGAGCGGTTCCCTTCAAGGCTATTGAATTGAACTTAGCGCTCAATAAGTAGGGCTATGGATAAAATGCTTTTTGAATAATTTCAATAAAGTAAATAAACAATTTAATTTCATATGCACTATGGCTTACGCTGAGTGACTTTAGTTGTCAAATCAAAAATTCATTACCAATGACCTTTACTACACGAGGGGAATACAAATGTTCTGGATCTGTTCTTATTGAATATTTCATGAAGTGATTTTTTCATTATTCACTTTTCCCGAAGTTCGTAAGAAAATATTAGAGTCTTTCTTCTATATTAATGTTTTTTACCCTCTTGGTCTCTTTAATTTTAAACGAATCCCCACATTGTTATGTTAAAATTTTCAAAATTTGTTTTGTTTCATCATTTTTATAGGTCCACAGTTAAAACCGATTGCTCCAGAAGATGAGGATATATTTTTTACCTCTTTTATTTTTTGTTTTGGTTATGCTTTTATACCGAACGAATCTGATGGTAGAGCAGCCATTTAGTCTGCCCTATATTCTTGCCCATAATCTTATAACCATTGCTCCTTCATCACCTCCTAAAAACTATTCATTCGTCAAAACCCATCATCCTTTGGTTCTTGTTGTCACTGCCTCCGATAAACAGATCTCAGACGACGCTAAATTAATAACCTCAGTTGTGCGATCACTTCGAATTTCGGTCTTTCCCTTGCTACCTCAATTAGTCTTCACTCAGTTACATCAACTCATTAGCTCAAAATCTTTTCAATTAGTCATATTTGAAGACATTCTTATGTATTTTAAACTACCAGTCAAGATAAAGTCTGTTCTTGATGAATATTGCAAATCAAACAATGTAAATATTATCGGCTTTCCAAAGAATCTAAACACCTTAAAAAACCTTCCTAGCAGCGAAAATCTATCTGAGGTGCGTTTGAAAAATCATTCATGAACTTTAATTTTAGTGATTTCATGGAATTTACTATGTCATTCTATCTAGATGGATCCAACTTTTCCACTTCTTGTTAAAAGGTTTACTCGTGGCTCTCCACCGCAGGGCTTCTATCTATCTAGAGAAAGTGATGTTCTGTATTTAGCTAAAGGAGGTCAAGTTGATACTCGACCTCTAGTTGACCAGGCACCTCCTTGTCGTGATTGGCAACGCACGTCGCCTCGTTGCTTTCAACACCGACGGGAAGTTTATCCTCAACTTCTGGCTGAAACAGCGAGTTATATCAGCCATTTCTCCTACCTGCTCCCTGGGTTCGACTCCGTCTTACGCCGAAGTCATATTCCAGAAGATTTAATTAAAATAGAGGAGCAGAGGTTGGCGCAATCTTTCTCAACTTTTGTGCCCCGAGAAAGCATTGATTCAGCATTGTTTCAAACCATAGCCTTCTCTAAAGTATATCCTGGTTATAAGACCGATGTGGAACAACGAAGTTGCGCGTTTGATGATTGCGGTATTGATGGTTGTTTTGGAGATGATGTGTATCAGGCTCTTGTGCTTAAAGATGTTGGAAAAATCGATGGAATTGAAAGAATACTATTCGCATTTGAACCACTTCAGCATTGGTCCACGACACTGCTACTGAGTGACGCGATATGGCACTTTTTGAAGGATATTGCCGTACTTGAATATGGTTAGTGCTGTTAGATACTTTTTTTCGAATAACTAAGTGTGAAAAATAATATTTCATCGTCTTGTTTGTAGAACTTGGACTTGTGAGGTATATTCACATCGATATTGACGATGTTTTTGTGGCACCTGCTGGAACTCGAATGACTTCGTCTGATGTTAAAGTAAATCCAACTCTATTTTTAAAGGGGACTTTGAATGTCTCAGTTTAAGCTCATTCATCAGAAACACATTTATGGCAGGTTGATTTGTAGCTTTGAAAATGTGTTTTTAGTTTTATTCCTGTATCTCGAATATGAGAGTGCCTTCATTTTGTTTACAGCTTATTAAAACGCATAACAAATCCATGACATCTAATTGTCGTAGTTACAATAATTCCAAGAAGATCAAAAGGTTTGGAAATAAGATTTTGACGTTAGTTAGACCAATTAGAAATCGAGTGTTCCTTCTATTCAATAGATGCCAATCTTCTATTCGAATTTGTTATGCCATGTTTGCTGATCAATTTGCTGTTATATATACATCTTCGAATTCAACTTGATCATGCATATCTTTTAAACATTACATATGCTTTTTATTTGAGCTTTCCTTAGAACTTATTTGAAACTGCATTTTATCTTCAAAAAATTATATCAAATGGCAGGCTTTAATGGTAGTTATCACAAAAGCGGAGAGGGGGACAGAGGAGTGATTCACAGATGTAGAAGAGACAGACAGACACAAAGGTAGAGAAAAAGGAAAGGTGAATACTGTGGAAGTGATCGAACATGACGTATATTCGGGTCATGGTGGTTTGAAGTCAGAAGTCAACTACTGGTTAATAGACTTTTTTGCTGTATGAGTATACGCTGTCCAGGGAGCATCACGTGGAGGTAAGTCTATCACGCAACCCAGCTTTAAATATGATCCTAGGTATTTGATAAAAACAATTTTTTGACGATACGTCAAATTAAAGAGGATCGTAGTGTTTAAAATAAGATACGCAGGTATTGGTACTTGGTAAAATATTTAACGCTGTCTACGGAGATGCAAATCCGTTTTCCGTAATTCAATTTTTCTTCGAAAATGCAGGTGACTGTCTTTTAGCCCACATGAAAGTTGAGATTGCCCTCGATCAGGTATGGCTGTTGAGTAACAGCGTTTACTTATGACGAATTTATCTTCTTTGGGTACTTGATAAATGTACAATGTGTTTTGCATGTGTTCTCGTTGGGTGCTATCTTATAATGACATTTTGTTTGTGGCATTGTTCTGTTTCCAAGTTGTGATTAAAATAGTTTGTTCTTAGCATCTTTGTTGTTCTGTAATTATGTCCTTGAATTACCACAATACTGTTTATATAATACTATTGATCAGCGAGCATTTGCATGAAATGGGCCTCACAATGGCTCATTGTCCATTCATTTCTCTCCAATTTTGGGTTTCTCAAGAGCACCATTTTGTATTTTTCGTATTGCTTCATGTAATCGGGTTTGCTCAAAAGAGGTTCATTGATTTTTTTCCCGCTTATAGTTGAGGTCTTCCTCATGAGCGTTTATGGTTTCAACTGTCCTGTTACGCGACTGTCCTTTTTAAGGCTTATAAAAACTGCAAGATCTTCTCAAACACCTTTAAATGTCCCTAATCCTCTATCCTTCACTCAACATAGACTATGCAGTCTTTGCACGGCCACTAAATTAGACGTTAATCGCGCTTAGTTTAGGTTTGGAGCAAACAGTCTGAAACCACTTTGACGAGAAAGCCACATTTTATCGTTCCTCTTGTCTCCCGGTGTTAACCACTATTGTTAACAATCCACATCATTAATTATAAGCATGGTTAGCTCCAGTTAATTGAAGCTTTTGTTCTTATTTTTTAGCATCTGATAGAAACCCAAGACCGTTGGCGCCAATTCATACCAGGATTTACATTTCACATGGGATTTGCTGGCTCTTCCTTCAAACGTGGAAACCCACAAGAACAACTTGGTGATGAAGCTCTTATAGGTAAGCGCTTTGTAACTCTTAATTCTCATATTTTTCATTCAAATTAATTTTCGTCTATTTACCCTATTTTAACTGTGTTCTAGAAAATCGTCATCAATTCAAGTGGTTCTGTCATACATTTTCACACGCTCAACCTCATGCTCTTTCAGAGGCGGAAGTGACCCAGCAACTAGAACTCAACAAGGCTTTCGCTGAGGTTATATTCTACTTATGTCTTAATGAAGTCATTTTTTGTATTCGTCTACTTTATTTTTTATGTCCTGTTATAGGAGAAAGATCTTCCAATAGCACCTGGTTATTCCGTGGCTCCTCACCATTCTGGTGTCTATCCCGTCGCTCCACATCTCTATCGTGCATGGAAGGCGGTTTGGAATATAAACGTTACCACAACAGAGGGATACCCCTATCTCTTCCCTGCCTCTTCTCGGCGTGGTTTTAACTACATGGGAATTCAAGTTCTCCCTCGACAAGTTTCAGGGGTATACACTACTACAACTCAACTTGCCACCTACCCAGGTGGTGTAAGTAAACTTGATGGGATGGCTTTTGGTGGAGATCTCTTTGATACCTCCCTTTTTCGTCCGGTTAATCTTTACATGACGCATTTTGGAAATTATGCCCAAGACAGGCTAGCGATATATGTCTTTGAGAGGTTGTTCGCTTTTATTAAAGCCTGGACTCGTTTGGAAATTAGATGGGCCCCCTTATGGCTTCTTGTTGAAAAACACCTAAAGTATAATCCATTGGAAAGGCCGCAGTCTCCTTTCTCTCTTCCAATTTATTCGGATCCCTGTGTTGATCCCAGGCACGAGGCCATTTGGTTTCCATCCGGTTGTACACCGGAAGGAAGACGTCTTCCGAAAGCTGTTATTGTCGGACCACAAAAAACAGGTTAGTTTTAATTCTACTCTTAAATTGTCTTCTCGTTCTGGTCGCTGAATACTCCTTATTTTAGGCACGACAGCTCTGTTAGCCTTCATGGCAATGCATCCCCAACTTCAGCCCAATAAATTTGAAACCCACTCACCCTTTGAGGAGATACAATTTTTCAGCGATAATAATATCTACAGCAAGGGGGTAGCCTTCTACAACGATCAATTCCTAAACCCCTCCACTGGGCTGAATTTCGAAAAGTCGGCAACCTACTTTGAGTCTCCGCTAGCTGCTCAAAGAATGGCTACACTCCTGCCTCATGCTAAAGTGATTGTTCTACTTCGAGATCCGCTGCAAAGAGCATTGTCTTGGTATCAAGTAAGATTTTGCGTTTTTAAGGCCGTCTTGAAGTGTCCCGTTTTACGCCTATTTTTCCATCAATTTATGACATCAGCATCAAAGGGCTCACAATATTCAGGCCGCGTTGAGATTTACATTTGATGAGGTCATCAAAGCCAGCACGCCAGCGGTGGCCAAATTTCTCGCTTCTGCATCAAATGGTTTGTCAAGGGAGTCCAGTGTTAATGTGACTCAACTCGCGAACCAGCTTCATCGACTGCATTCCAAATGCGTGGAACCTGGTAGATATGCCACGCATCTACGACAGTGGCTGCATTACTACCGAGCTAATCAGGTGGGAAAATTAGGCTTGTTAATGGAATATTTTTTGTTATCTCCTTCACTTTCTCGACCATTTGCTTTGTTCTGTGCCTGAAAATTCCAATTTCATTTGCAAAGAAGATAGTTTGGGGGAATAATTTTAGTCTCCTGAAATATGCCATCTTTCAATCAAGTGGATAACTAAGTTTCGGGAATAAATTACACGAACCGGAGCCGTGAAGTTAGCCCAATGTATACTCAGATTATTTCTCGTGGTATTTTCATAGTAAATTCTATTGAAAGTGAGAAATATTAGAACCCACTCAATGAACGGGCTAAAATTGAATTAAAGTAGCTTCCGGTCTACTTACTGCTCCACTTCATCGATATTTCCATTATTCTCTGAATGTTTGCCAACAAAATCCTGTTGTTTTGAGGAGAAAAGATGACTTAGTAATCAAAATTACCCCAGTGTCCAAAAAAGATATCACTCAATTTCTTCAACGTCCCATGCTAGAGTAAATTGTTTCCATGACACCTTACCAAGAGCAATAGCCAGATAAGTAGCCTGATCAATAAGACTGAAGGTCTTTCGAGTCCGTACTAGTCAGTAATGTACCATAGGTTGAATGAATCCATCAATTCATTTTTGCCACAATACACTACTTTCATCGCTTTTACAGATTCTCCTTATTGATGCTGATCGATTGGAAGCAAAACCCGCGGAGGTTTTACGCGATGTTCAAGAATTCCTGAATACTTCTGTTCATGTCAACTATTCCCTACTCCTTTCGTAAGTTCTTTTTTATTATTTACCTATTATATGAACTCCGAGAAGAACATTAATAGTGAACCAGTAAGGGTTGTACGCCCAGGTAGTGTAGAATAAGAAAATATTGCATGCACATCAAAGGAGTCTTCATTCAAATGCCGATTTTACAAGGCTGTTCGTTTTGATGGGATTATATGCTATTCCAGAAATTGTTCCATAAGCTCATTTATTACTTGATTTTACCAATATAGTTACTATACTTACTGAAACGACTTATCCTCCAACATACATTCGTGATCTATTAAAACTCGTAGTAATAATTAGAGATATTATGTTTAATTTTCACAATCTTCAATTTTGAGGAGTGGGCATCATAATTAACCCTTTAACACCCTAATTATTTTTTTGGGAAAATATACCCAACCTCATTCACGCGTCTCACTGATGCCGCTGACGTGATGAGTTTTGGTGGTATCAGGCGAAGTCTATAGACGCATCGAACATGTTTCAGACGCCAATAGCGTCTTCTATTACGAGTCTAGTACCAATGGAGCTTATTTTGAAAGAGGACCTTGCGATCTCAAGAGCTTTAAGGGGTTAATACATTTCGTTCGATCTTACGAAGTAGTCCAGTTGAAGCTTTACTAAGACTTCCTTAAACACCAATATCCCTCTCCCTTAACTCCTTTAGTGGATAGATTTTATTCTGAAGTAAAATATCTGTGCCATTACGTTTTAATTAGTGCGGTATGTCTGATGCCTGTTTCCAGTCGATCCCTACAGTCACATATGACTTGGGTTGATTTTAGGCGAAATCCGAGTAAAGGCTACTTTTGTGCAACTGGTGGACCCTATCTCAAAGCTGGAAGGTTGTTGAAACCAAATCACGAAATCCCTGGACAGTGGTGTCTCTCTGCCGATAAAGGTCGGGTATACAACCACTCAGCAATCGATAATTTCACTTCGGCTAAAGTCCTCTTCGAGGAGCCTAATCATGACTTGGCCAATCTCCTGCTGCAATATCCATTTTGGCGATCCTCTCGTTCGACCTCAGTAAAGGATCTATTCCCTCGATGGCTGAATTCTCATTTCTAATTTTGTACAGCCGGATTTTATGAAAATTGAAGCATGCCTTGTAATGGTAAATATAATTCAACCTATGGTATTGGCTCTTTTACTCCTTTCTCCGATTCAAAAATTCTGTATAAAAAAATACAAAATGTTTGTTTTACGAAAAAAACACGTAACAATTTTCACTCATACTCTTCATAACTGTCTTCGATAATTTCCACGGAGTCTGCAAGAATATCCTCCCCTTCATTCTTCTCTTGATCTCCTGAGTTAGAATCCCCATCATAGGAATCTTCAATCACATCTTCCTTTTCGTCAATATTGTCTTGACTCTCACCACCTCCCAAATAGATCCCCGACATAGCCAGACTCTAAAACACAATAAAGACAAATGGATCATTAGTCCCACGATTTGGTTGCTAAACTTGTAAAGCCCACCTTCCGAAGAGATTTAAGAGGCCTAGATTGGTCAAGTTCCTCGTCATCAATTGTCCGCGTTAAATCGAAAGCTATTAGATCAGCCGTCTCAAGATTAGACTTTTCAGATGGAACTGCAAATGACCGTACAAATTCATCTTCATTCCCGACATCTGATTCCAATAGACTGGATGAATTTATAACATCAGATAATCTGGAAACATCTTTCAATTTCTCTGCCTCTAAAGCATCAAACTCGGACGTCCTTGAATCGTTCTTCGTATCTGATCTTATCGACAAACTTCTTGAAGACTCTTCAGGGCTGAAACCCTGAACTAAAGGCGTGGACGAAGTATGATGTTTCTTTGTTTCATCAGACACTCCAGAAACATTCCCCACAGAATGGATCTGAGACAGAGATTCTGAGTCTTCCCTCTCACTTGTCTGTAAACCTCTTGCCAAAGATACATCTTCAAATTTGGCATGTTGAGCTGGAAAACAAGATGAAGCAATGCAATCTGAATTTTCCTTTTCTTTCTTTACTGGTAAAGAGTTACCATGTCTCATATTATGACTCGGAGGCAAAGATGAAGCAGTACGAGTTGAGGTTTCACTAGATATCCTTGAACTGTCAATCTTTGTGAATGTTTGAGAACTACTTGTAGGTATTGTTGATGATTGTGATGACATCAGAAGTTCACTAGCCTTGACAAAACCCTTACCTAGTCCCGGAGCATTAAACATGGGCTTTTGAGAATCAGCTTTCGAGGGAGCAAATATTTCACCAGCAGGACGATTGTAATTGGGTTTAATGGTTGCATGGGCTTGTTCTTGTAGTCTTTTTGATGCAGCAAAGTCTTTGGCAGCTTCTAAACTTATAGCAGCTTCACCCAACCTCAGCTGAGATTCTGCAAAACGCACATCCGCATCAGTCATCGTCATAGAAGGATCTGAATCATCGGCACTAGATTCAACTTGAGTGAAAAGCAAGTCGTGATCGGAGATATCGAAAACCAAATCCGTCATTGACAGGATAAATTGAAGATGAGATTCCAACTCAGAGTAAGTTTTACGTCTTGCTGAACAGTGAATTTTGGCGAGCTGGCGTTGCGTCTTAGAGAATCGTGGGTTCTCATCAAGAGTAAATAGTTCGACCAACTCCTGACGAGTGAAATAGCGATAAGGATCGGCATGATCAGTATTACTTTTACGATCGGCAGCTGCCCGATCCATAGTCTGACGAATTATAGAGCTCTTGAAAACCTGTCGACGATATATCTTCTCTTCAACGGTGGCACAAGTGATGAGACGGTAGACAATCACATTTGAACGCTGACCGATTCGATAGACACGATCTACCGCTTGAGCGTCAATCGACGGATTCCAGGAAGGATCAAGGATTACAACTCGATCAGCTGTTGTGATAGTTAAACCCACACCACCAACCTGAAAAAAACGAATTTGATTAGTATACACGTGGTTGTAACACAATATTTTGACAGCACCCACGAATGCTATATAGCTTCTCCATTTCGTTAGGGAAATAGTAGACAGAACCTGACCAGGACAAAGAGAAAATATCCTAGAGCTGCATTAATAAACACGCATTCTGCCACCACTCTTGCTGAAGAGAACTTGGCTTGTTTAAATAGGTGTGCACCTATTGACATTGATCTTCTGACCATGAGCTCAGCAGACGTACAAGATGACCACTAAACCATCGAAAATTAATGCCTTTTACATTTATAAAGTAGTTGCAGAGAAGAAAGCTTACAGTACTCGTAGAAACACTAAACCGTAGCTAAGTCAGAGTAAGACCGAGTTGATTCCGGGTCTACAAGTGAAGAGTAAATAATGTGAGCACTTAAAGACTGTCAGAAGTCGGAATAAAATAATCTAAATCAAGGTTGTTTCGGATCCTCACCAAACTGAATTTAATGTAAATACTGATGGGGATAGTATCAGGCAGCTTCTAAGTAACTATCCGCTATTAGTTAAGACAAGAAGGAACAATGCTGTTGATGATCTTTTCTAACTAACCTTTGACGAAAATGTGCAAAAGTAAAAATGATGAGGAGCTTTCCAAATTACTCCAGGTAGATATTGTGGCAAATGTGCAGTGGGAAAGAAAAATTAAGCCACAATGTAGCAACTTTAGTCCTTCTTATATGGCACATTTTAACCAAATGAGATAAATGGCTATTATGGTCCTAAATACAAAAGCCCCCTCCCCCCTTACATCCGAAATTAGGTTCTCCTATTAGTATGAAAATATGGGATGCAAATAACGCTAAACTTACTTTCTAAACCGGTAAAGTTGGAATATGATCCGACTTACCTGAGTAGTGAGCAGCATAACAGTATAGCTGAGGTCTTCAGCAAACCGGCTTAATATCTCATTTCTCTCCTGCAATTTCTTCAATCTTCCATCTAATCGAAGGATCTTATGCTTCGGCAAATCACGTGGTCGACTAGGTACTCTATTTACCTCCAAAATCGCAGCTTCAGTCATGTCGAGAAGCCGCAAAGATTGTGAAAAAATTAACGTCCGATGAGCAGGCTTCCCAGTCTCCAGCGACTCAATCTGGAACTGTTCAAGCAGTTGTACAGTAAATCCGATCTTCCCAGACTCCTCCAGGAGAGTTTTAAATGAAGGGACCTGTATTTCAGATCCAGGAAGAGTTTTGGAGACGTCCAAGCCCAAATTTGCACACTGCTCCGTCGAGAGAAGTCGTGGATGATCACAGAGTTTCTTGAGAATAGTCAGCTCCACAAGAGGTGAACGGGTAGTATTTCCAAACAGAAGACTCTTTACATGTTCTAGCTTGAGGAAACTGCGGTAGATAGTCTCTTGGAGATTACTCAAATACAACCACACAACCAATTCATTTTTCTGGGGCATTTGTTGATTATCGGAGAGTGTGTCCTGTTTCGTACGACGGAGGATAAATGGCGCAATCATCTTATTTAACGATTCTGCCATTAAATTTCCATGGAGACGCTCAGCATTGGAAGCATCGCGTTCTCGCGAGCGAAGAATGGGTTTTCCGTACTGAAGCATGAAAGTCTGTTGACCCCCAAGTAGGCGCCCAGCATGAGTGAAATCAAAGAGGGACCAGAGTTCACGAAGATTGTTTTGGATAGCAGTACCGGTTAGAAGAAGTCGATGTTTACAATCTAGGAGACGAACAGCTTGTGAGATCTTTGCAGAGGGGTTTTTGATACGATGGGCCTCATCTAAAATGACGTAGTCGTAGGCGAATGTCTGTTTGTAGTACCTTTCGCGATTTGAGGACAGCCAACCGGTAGATTCCACGTTTTGATGAGAGGCGATATCTTCAGCTCCGCTTGTGAACATGTTGTAGGAGGTGAGGAGGATACCTCCGCGGCACTGAAAGTTGTTAAGGGCTCGTTGACGCGCCTTCTTGGTCATCTCGTAATAGGTGTAGAGGCGAAGGGATGGCGACCACTTCTCAAATTCTGATTGCCAGGTCTGCATAACTGAGACAGGAGCAAGAATAATAGCAGTGCGAGGCTTTTTTCTCTTCGCACATCCTTCGTCGTCGCATAGGAAAAAACCGGTCAAGAAGGCGATGGTCTGATAATGAAAACCCAAACAAAATAGCAATTAACCAAGTCACAATCACAATTAATACATGGCATATATATGCTAAGAGTCCAAATACTGAAGAATATTATTTAGGCGATAAACACTATGTTAACCCATAATTCTGAGTTGTTCAAACAATTAAATGATGATTTCACCTGTCCTCATCCTACGTCCTTCTTACGACAACCTGGTTTCACTCGCGTAGCACTAACACATAACCTTTCCTTAAAACGGCCAGTGTCCAATGAAGAAGTTGTCCAATTCAACAGCTGGAATTCTAACATCGAAGAAGACCGTTAAGAAAAATTAAAAGGTCTAGCCAACCCAATTTGACTGAGTTCATAAAGTAGCGTTACTTAAGGAACTCTGTGATTACTTAAGCTCTTTTCTATTTTCGCACATTTAATGCTTCCCGATTCATTGATCTACCTTTAGCACTCTATATTTCAGTCGTGTCTTATAATAATAAATCACTACATAGACCACGCGCATTCACAACAGTAACTGAATTAAGAGGCATACCTGCAAAGTTTTGCCTAGACCCATATCATCAGCGAGGACACCACCGGGAGAAGTCTTGTGAAGATTCCAGAGCCAAGCTACTCCATCTCTCTGGTAGGGGTATAACCTTTCATATAAACCGGTTGGAAGATAGAAGCCATCAGACACTTTTGTCATATTATCTCCAGGGGAGAATTTCTCTTCAGCTATTGAAAGGTTGGCTGCGCCACGAATCAAAGCATCAACGTCATCCTGGAAGGAATGGAAGGTGAACGGTCTTAGCTGGTGATTAAAGATTTAAGCGAAATTGGAATATAACCTTCCATTGTATAACTTAAATATCAGTAAAATTTAATCATTTACACCACCAGCATACGTCAAGATTGTTCTCACTAACCTACTACTATCCATCTCTTAAGTATGCACCCTAAGACGACAAAGAAGGCTAGAACAATGAATTCAAAAAGTATATCATTGCTTCTGATGGGGCGTGCGATAGACTTACCTCCACGTGGTGCACCCTGGACAACGTATACTCATACGGCAAAAAAGTCTTTAAACCGGCAGTTGGCTTCTGACTTCAAACTACCATCACCCCACTGTATGTAATATTCGACATCTTTCGCAGTACTCACCTAATCTTTTTCCTACCTTTTCTAACTTCGTATTTGAAACTCTTCTGTTCCTCCCCCCCCCTCTCGACTTTCTTTTCACCTTGATGTTCCTTCCTCTTTGTGAAGCCTGAAGTCAACTAAAGGGCTAATGATGGCCATCAAAACGCCTTCCATTTGATATAAATAAATAAATAAATCATTGCTTCTGATTGTGTAATTGTAACGGGCGCACCAAATGCGTAATTGCATGCATTTTTCATATTGAAAGCTTTCAACATCATATTGGATTTCAAGAAAGGAAACTGTTACATAATCACCACATGAGTCATCAAGAGTAGCATATACCATCCAACAGTTTTCCGGCATGGAGTAATAGCAAAGCTACCGACATTGATTCTCTCAACTTTAAGAAACTACAAATACACGCCTTCTCCTGCCTTCGAACAAATTAGGACTACAAAGTGTAGTTACTAATTGCAAACGGAAGCAGGACTTTGAGCATAGCAACCACCATTCATTGAAAAGTTACCAAAAGCCCATAATCCATATAAATGACTCGAATCGCACCTAGATACGAAAGTTAACAGATGGAATTATCAAAAGACCTTACTATTTCAATATAAGGTGCAAAAATTAGAAATCCATTACGAATTCAGTCAGAGATATTTTACCTAAATAAAAATTTAGGAATAGTCATTCGATTTAACTTAACATAATTGCAACAACTATTTAAGAAATAACATGATTACCTCAGATTCATCTTCATGGTGCTTTCTCTTCTCCTCTTCAGCCATAAGTTCTCGAAGTCGTCCAATTCTTCTTTTCAATTTTTCACTTGGACAGAGTTCATTAGCTTTAAGTAGGAGATCAAGTGTGCCATGATAGTCCTTATTCTGAAAAAACACTCGAGCCTGCTTTTCAAGACGAGCAGATTCCTCACTGGCGAATTCACCGGACGGAACTAAGGTGGAAGGTTTCGGGGACGATTGTTGGGGAGAAGAGGAGGAACAGGTTATCATAGCTTGAATCCTCTCAATCTTACGCGCAGTTTTGGGATTGGAATCGATGCTGTAGGCACAAACTAACTCATCGAGACATTCCTCTAATCGACCTTCCTCCATTAATGTGCGCGCTTGTTTGATGTGCTGTTGGGCTTCAGTTTCAGCCTAATTGGGCACAAAATCTAGATGATTTCAATAATGTCAAACGGTAGTCTAAACGACGAAAAATGTTCTACCCAGTTTAAACTAACAAAAAGAAATTAAGACTATATGACCAACCAATCAACTAGATAAACTGGTTAATAAGAATGAAATACTAAGGGTATAATATCACCCCTTAATCAAGGGTCGTATCAAGAAAGTTAAAAAGTAATAGGGATGAGTCATGATCTACAGCAGTTTCCTTCAAAAGAAACAATCTTAGCCACCTGATACGTCAAGTATAATTTGGTTTCAATTCATAAATAACAAGAATTTAGCATACAAACGGCAAAATCACTGCACCATGTTGGGTGCGAAATTGCTAACCATAATACCACCCCCACTACAACAATGGGAAATCAAAAGACTAAACATTGCAAAAACGAAATCCTTAACTTCTGCAAGGGTGATTTCACCTTAACCATCAGACTTCAATTTCTCAGAATATGTTTGCTCGAATAAAATTGATCAAATAAACGGCTAAAATACACGCATTAACTCATGTTGTTACCACTCCATGGGTAAGAATAATTCACTTTACATTTTAACTCCCAAATCATCATTATGAGCAAAGAAAGGACTTACATTTTCACTAGCAGCAACTTCATGGGGCACGGTATTTTCTTGAAACTGAAATGGGGAACAAAAAAGGAATCAAATTATTGGACTTTCCATACAAAGGCCTTTTGAACTGCACAAAGGCTTACAGGAATTTCTGAAGACTTGGGTTCAGCAACACCACTCTCACGACCTTCCTTTAACTTTGTTGAACTAAAATTCTAAAAAAAATCGGAGAAATGGATTGAAGTCAAAAACAGTGCTAATGAGTAGAAAGACCAAAATTACACTTTTGCGTTGAAAAGTTATTGGAAGACAGCTCATTGGTAAATAAATACCCTGTTCTGAATATCGAAGAAATAAGCGTGGTATAAAAACAATGCTGCTTTAGTTCAATGGAGATGA